TTGTCTGTTGTAAGCAGGAAAATTGTCCCCAAAGACGTCCATATCCTAATCATGGAGACTGAAAGGATGTTATTTTACATAATAAAGGGGATATTAGGTTTCAGATGAAAATGAGGTTGTTAGCCAACCAATTTTAAAGTAGGGGAATTATCTCGGATTCTCTGAGTGGTCCTGATGTAGTCACAAAGATATTTTTTAAATAAAGATTATCTTATTTTTAAATTATCTGTCTGTCTGTCTGTCTGTCTGTCTGTGTGTGGGTATGTGCACATGAGTGCAGGGGCCAGGAGAGGCCAGACTCATTAGATCTTCTGGAGCTTGACTTACAGTGAGTCAAACTTCATCAAGTGAGTCCTTCAACATAGGTGGTGGGAACCGAACTTGGGTCCTTGGCAAGAGCAGTAAGTGCTTTTAAACCGTGATCCAGCTCAATCACGAAGACCATAAAAAGTGAAGAACAGAGTCAAAATAGAGGTAGCATGGGCCAGACTTGATGTTGCTAGCTCTGAAGATGGAAGAAGGGAGCTTTAATCTGAGGAGTGCCGGCAACCTTTAGCAGCTAAAAATTCAAGAGAACTAAAAGGTGGTGGGGTACAGCCCTCCTGTCACCTACATTTTTGACTGGTAAGATGCCAAGTTAGACTGTTATTCCAAAAAACTGGAAGATAATAAAAAATTTTAAGATTCTCAGAATACATAAATTTGTTAGTCAAAGAAAACTCACACATTTTTTTTTTCATTCCCACCAACAATATGTGTTTCCTTATACATATTCCTTTGGTTTCTTAAAAAATTAGTTTCTCCCCTCATATAGTTGCTGTTTCTGTTATTTGAAAAGAAGTATTGATGATGTTAGGTTAACAATTCCTTGTTTTAAGTTAAAAGGAACATCTTGATCATAAGGATCTAGTTGTCACGTTCTTCCTTCTGGTTAACTCACTTTTTGGAAGGGGGAACGCTTTCATTTTCTCCTCTGTGGCCAGGATGGGGGAGGTGGCATCTCTGCAATGCTGAGGCCATTACGCTGAACTGCAGAAATGTTCTGGGAGAAGCTGTTCGCTGGCATCTGTTTATTTCCACAAAACATACTGTCTCGAAGTTTCTATTGTAACACAACACCATGAGCACAGTCAACACGGGAGGAAAGTGTTTATTTCCTCTTCCAGCTCTCAGGTCACATTCTGTCCCTGAGGCCAGTCAGAGCAGGAACTCAAGACAGAATCATGTGTGCAAAACTGAAGCAGAAGCCATGGGGGGAAACACTGCTTCCTAGCTTCTCTGCTTGCTTTCTTATACAACTCAGTGGTGTAGGAGGTCCTTCTTTCTATGTGTTGCTTATATTGGTTAATGAATAAAGAAACTGCCTTGGCCTGATAGGGCAGAACTTAGGAAGGTGGAGAAGACAGAACTGAATGCTGGGAGGAAGAAGGCAGAGTCTGCCTGAGACAGAGGCTGGGAATTTTACCTGGTAAGCCACTGCCACGTGGCGATACACAGATTAATAGAAATGGGTTAAATTAAGATGTAAGAATTAGCCAATAAGAAACTAGAGCTAATGGACCAAGCAGTGATTTAATTAATACAGTTTCTGTGTGGTTATTTCGAGGCTAAGCTAGCCAGGCGGCTGGGGTAAACAAACGGATCCTCTTCCTTTGAAACAACTCAGGACTCAGGGATGGCATCATCCTCTATGGGATGGGCTCTTCCACATCACTCATTAATCAAGACAATTCCCACAGACTTGCTTACAGACCAGTCTTATGAAGGCATTTTCTCAATGAAACGTCCTTCCCAGAAATGTCTAGGCTTATGTCAAGTTGACAAAAATCAACCCAGTACAGGAGATGAAGCCATTCCTTTGACTTGACTTGGTGACAGTTCAATCCTTGAATGGCTTTACTTGGTCTCCAGCCAAGATGGACAGCATCACTGATTAAGGTTTGCAAGAGGGGCTTGAGACATTATGTCTGTAGCAACTTCCACCTTTCTGCAGAAGGTCATCTGGGTGTCCAAGATGATCATGGTGAGGAAAACAAGGAACCTGATTGGGAGGAGCTAAATAGGGATCTGGGTGGCATATGAAAACTTGTGGGCATGTTAACCAGTATCTGTATTGAGTGTCACCTCAGTACAGGGCAGCGAGTTAAACAAATAACTCTAAAACTACTAGTTGGCCAGGTACAGGAGAGAAAACACAGACAAAAAGAATGGCCAGAGGGAAATCCATAGAATTCAGGGCTCTATCATCCCATTCAGGTGAGCCTAGTGATAACAAGTGTTAGAAAGGGAGGGGAGTCTAATAATAAATAGCAAGAGGTACAAAGGCTAGGAAACAAAGAGCATGTGGATAGGACACTGTCTCCAGGGACCAATAAGATCTCTGGGTTGTGGAGGCAGTGGGGGTAGGGGCCTGGACTCAAACATGATTGTTGTTATTAGTTATGTAGCCGTGAGAAAAAAAGGCTGTTTGGCTCCCAGTCTGAAGCTGTAATATACAGATAACATCTCCCTCAGAGAATTGCTGGGCCAGTGAAATGGCAGCATGCAACATGCCCACCTTTCTGTAGATCTTCGGGAAGAACTGGTCCTCCCTTTTGTTTTACCCCTGGAAACTTAACTATAAATTTGTTCGGCACAGTGTTAGTGTTATCAATTGGTGGTATCCCTGTGACATCACAGGTCCTGTGCCAGTTAGCTGTCATGACATATCTGTGCTCTGGGGATCCAGAGAGCTGAGCACCCATCTCTATAAGTCTTTGGGGGGAGAGAGAGAGAGAGAGAGAGAGAGAGAGAGAGAGAGAGAGAGAGAGAATATTAAGAGCTGGGTCTAGACGTAAGGCTTCATTCTTCACTACTGAGTTTTTTCCTTTCAGAAATATGAACTACTATAGCTACTAAAGTGAATATCTTCAGCAGTATCTTTTTAGGGATATCCTCTTGCACCATTTCCAACTCATAGATCTCACTGTCAAGTATTAATAATAAATCACAATATAATGTCTTTAAAATTGTCTTATTGAGGCAGGGTCTCATGAAGTCCAGGCTGACCTCAAACCTGGTCATTAGCTGTTCCAGGCTAATTATGAATTTCTGATTCTCTTAACCGTGCTAGGAGTAAAACATCGATTAAAGACAGATTTATGCAGTTCTGGTGAACACTGGACTGGGCAAACGCTACTAACCGAACCACATGGCCCAGCCCTAATTTTTAAGAATATTATGTATTTAGTTGTTTAATCTTTTGAGACATCGGCCTTCAGTGAAATTTTGGATCTGCTAAAAGCAGCCATATTCTCCTCCTGCTCACTGTTGTTGTTTTAAAAGTCACATAAAATGGGGGAAAAAAATGTCATTTCATTGCTGCTTGAGAAGTCATACTCTGTCTGCCCCTGCCCCCTGATGGATCTCCTCTGGGAGATGATGCAAGTCAAAGCCTGTCTTAAATTACTCGGAAAGGCTGAACTGTGCAGCGAAGAGGGAAGTCACAGCGTTGTTTCTAGACACGAGATTCCTAACTCGCCTCTTTAGACATGACCTAGTTCCAGTTAGTACATTGTTTAATTTCTTATCGATAGTGAGCATGTTTTCTGAGGCAAAGAAGGAGACAAGACATTTGATGAGGGAGTCCCCTAGGGAACAGGCACCTATGCTAAATAGAAATTGTCACAGGAATCTCTGGGTCGGAGGTCTCACAGCCACCAAAACATGATTACACAACAGAGCTAGGATCTCATTCCATTTTTGGGATGGAAACTGGTAAACATTTGAACACAATAACTGGGGTCAAAGAGCGTCCAGGGAAAGACCACAGAAGTTCCTTAGCTTCTGCAGACAGGTTCCCAGGCCCTTAGGCAGTCACTGGCCAGGCCACCTCAAGGAGGCTGACAAGAACTCCCGTTCCCAGCAGAGCATTAGCGCGCATGCGCCTAAGCTTGCCGGTGTTCCAGGGGGAGAAGGTTGAGCGTTTGAGTGTCCATGGCAACCCGACGCTTCAGCCTTCTGGAAGCTTACAATCTATAGCTTGTGAGATACCCGTCCTGGTGGGAGGGACCTGGGCTGGGGGACTGATGGGGGAACAAAGGGGTGGGGTGGGGGACCAGGGAAACTTGATGTAAACTAAGAGATAATTGATTCAAGGCTCAGCACAAAAGGATCTTGTCTTTCCGGTGCTTTCGCCCACCCAGGGAAGGATGCCTCTGGAGGTGGTGGTGGAACTCCAAATCCGGGCGGTAAGAGATCGGCGAGCCTGCGCTGCTAACCCCACATTTCCCATCCATTTACTCCACACACATCGCTTTTGGCACACGCTGCACTTCTGTCCCTAGGTTTCTGCACATTTATCATCCGTGGACCTCTTAGACTTTAATTCAGCTCAGTCTGTCCCGAGTTTTATTTTTCTTTGCAAGACCAACGTGTTTCTTGGTTTCTTTAAAATGAAGGACTTTTGTTCCAAAGATAAAGGATTTAACTTTGTTTCTTTAAGTAATCAGAGAACATAGAATTTTAAAAGCTCCATTCTTGACCAATGTGCCACCTCCAAGAGGCAAAGCGTGTTCCCTTGGCTTTGGGTTGTTAATTTCAACAGGACACTCAGTCTAACAATAAGCTTTGTAATTACCCACCAACTCCTCCTAACGCTGGAGCCCAGAGACGATGTTCCTATTTGGGAGCCAGTCAATCCTTTTGTATTATTCTCCCATCTATAGTAACAAGACTGGCATAGAGCTTGGCCTCCTAATTATAAGAGGCTTCACTACCTACTGGCCATAGTTACACAGTGGATGCTAACAGGACCCTGCATGGAAATTCAGCTAGATGCCATACAACAGCAAACTCTAGGGTTTCATGGAGCTTGTTGACCTTAAAGGGCCCTGGTTTGGTTCCACTTTACTGACATTATCAGTTGCGCTGCATCAGTTTCAAGTGCTCAGGAAGAGGAAGGAATCCCTACAAGGCCGGGAGATCTCTCTTACAGCAAGACAAATTAAGATTTCATCCCATGTCATTCAACATTACTGGTTAATTTATTTTGATTTTAAAAAGGCATCCTTCAGTGTGCAGTAATTAACAAAAAAAAAATCAGTTTTTTACTCGAGAGAATTTAGAATGATCCATGAAGTCAGGTAACTTGATCCGTTCTGTGCTTTAGAAAGCTGGCAAATTCAGGCCCCAGCAAACAAAACATGAAATTCCAGAAGTGTAACTAGAAACCAGAAGATAGGCCCTCAGTAATCAGACCTGGGGACACAGTAAGAGAAAACACCATCCTTCAAATGCCTGGCCTGAATGTTACAATTAAGAATGATCTCTGAAGGTGGGTGGTGGTGGTGCACGCTTTTAATGGCAGCACTCGGGAGGCAGAGGCAGATCCCTGTGGATTCAAGGCCAGCCTGGTTGGTCTATAGAGCGAGTTTCAGGACAACCAGAGATACACAAATAAACCCTGTCCCGAAAACCAAACCAAAATAAACCAAACCAAAATCTGAAAATTTAAACCACACACTCAGACCACTTAGAACCTCACAGCTTGGCAGAGTCAGTAAGCAACGAGGTAGTTAGTGTTCAGGGTGTTGTGGAAATGCAATGACTGTTTTACTCAGAGAAAGAACTGATCCTGTTGGTGTGCCTAGCCCCCACTCTCTATGGTCCTGCCTCCTCCCAGTGAGAACCGTTTAGCACAGCCATTCTGCACAGTCTGGTCCATACCCTTGCATGTTAGATCACATCCAACAATCCGTTCTATTTATAAATGCCAGAACAATTGGTCACTAAGATTATCTGACGACCCCACTGCCACTGGGGATTTAAAGGTTTCCTTTCCCGTCAGAGCAGCATTTACAGATTTATATAGCACATACTCCTTTTGGTCTTTCCAGGTTAGACAGGAATCAGAAACCTACCACATTATTTGGTCATCTTTGGTCTAATGATTGGGGGAGGCGCGTGGACGAACACCTTTCCATGTAAACAGAAATTTAGGAGTTATCCCGGGTGCTCATGTAGGGCAACAGGCTCTCCCGAAGAATTTCAAGTTAAGTACTGTGATCAAAAATGTGCTGGACACAGCAAAGTGGAACTGATGAAAATGGGTAGCATACAGTCATCCCTGTGACATACACAAGGACGCTATGCAGCATGCTGAACACCACACCTCTTTTCCATTTTTTTTTCCTTAGTAGAGGACCCTATGCTCTATTCCGTAGAGATGATGGGGAGCAGGGCTTCATCTCCTGCCCCTGGTCATTGACATTGAGGGTCTGTCTGTTTCCAGATCCTCAGTCTCCCCAGCAGCCCAGCTTCTTGGCCCCCTGCTATTCATGGCTACTGATTGTCATCAGAAATGAACAGTAGTCTCATACTTACATTTCTGTGGGACCCTTAGACAAGCCCACTTTTTCAGTATGTCTTCTTTAACATCTTGGCTTGTTGTACGAATGCTAAAAGACACTATTAGAGAGCAGTGGAAAGTAAATATCTAAAGACCTTTTGAGAGCAACAGGAAGAAAGGCAAGTGCTGTGTGTAACCTCTTATTACCTAATCCACAAAGGTAGGAGACCTTGTTAAGCAATCAAGATACAGAAAAAGCTCCAATTATGGCAACAGATGTTCAGAGAATAAACTGGAAAAAATCTGCCTCAAATTTAAAAAATACTGCTTAAAACCTACAACAGGGAAAGGGACGGGAATAAGCACATGGTTTATCTGGAAGCTCATGTCTCTTAATATTCAATTTACAAGTGGTAACACTGTTTCTTGGGATTACTAATTAATACTAATCTGTCATCTTTAAATAAATAACAATTGTATAATCAGCCAGCTTGATTTCTTTGCATCTGTCTTGGAGATAAACAGCTGTTGAATACATACACAATAGACTTTCTTTCTCTAGTATGCCTGTGTTCAGTAATAGCCAGCATGTGCTCCCGCCTAGGAACAGGTCAAGACAGTGTGATCCCAGAATCCTCAAAGGTGTTTGAAATGGCTGAGGGGGACAACTGGATGGCTCTGGTTTAGGTCAGAGTCTTCGAAGGTGGAAACCTTTGGACCTCCTGGTGCCAACAATTAATGAGATGGTGTCACTGATGATTCCATAGTACGAAGAGAACAGGAACATTGTGGGGTGACAGCCAGCAATAATCCACAATGCTGTACAGCATGTAGCCCAGAAAAAAGCCAAAAGCTACATCAGTGACGTTGTGCCGCCCAAGCATGACCCTGGAGAGCCCCAAGACGAAGGCCCAGAGTACCACCAGCACCCGCAGTGGAATGGCCAGTACAAGGTGCTTCAGGATGAATCGCGACACCAGGGCGGCCCTCGTGGCATGGCCCGAGGGAAAGGAGTACTTGTCCACCGAGACGGTGAAAAACATGTCCATCTGATTGTGCGCTGGTCGGCGCCTGCGGACCAGCCCTTTAATCACAGCCACCATTAGCAGGTCCAAAAGCAGGGCGAAGAGCAGGTTCATCAGCACTTCGCGCCCGGCCCAGCTGTCGCTCCTAAGCATGCAGTAGAGGGTGCCCAGCAGCCAGGGGATGCCGTGCCCCGAGATCTCCAGCAGCTTCATCAGGGGCCGCACGCTGCCCCAGGCCGAGCTCTCCCCGGCACACACTCCCAGCTTCTTGGACAGCCACAGGTCGATGGCCAGCAGAGAGCGCAGGGCGATGCCCAGGAAGGACGGGTTCAAGTTCATGCGGTCCTCCTCGGGCGGCAGGGCCGGGGCTGCTTGTGCGGGGCCCGCGGAAGCCAGCGGGAAGGAGCCGCGCCGGTGCACC